AGGCATTTTCATATAGCATGTTCATGTATTGGGTTGTAAGGAAAGTTCTTATTATTCATCTCATAATTACCAAAAATGCATGCAAATGCAAGGGCTGGTTTGGGATGTGTTCTCAGTATGCGATGATGCGATGGCCCCAGCTACCAAATACGTTTCAGCTTAAAAAAAATAACGAGGCATGAAGAAGTACCCAAAAAAGGAGAAAAATCCGTTGCGCTTCAGTCAACGAAAAGACACATTTTCTCAATTGAGGACGCACAAAACTTGCAAAACCTTGATTTGAAAATTCGTTTTTATACCTTCATATTGGTTAGATGAAGCGGTATCCGAACATCACCTGTTTCAGTATCTGGGCTTTTCTACAAGCAAGAAACAGCGCACTGATTTTAGGGTTGGAAAATTGAACTCTCCCCCTTTTTCAAAACGCAGCCAGCGTGCTTCTTGGAAAAGAGCATCTAGGATTTACCTAATCTTTAATTCAAGGTCGTCAATACACATGACCAAAATACCGTTATATTATAGTTACTTTTAATAAAGATATAAATAAAACAACTTAGCTCAACCTTTATTGGCAGAACTCTTTATAACCTAATATCCTCAAGGAGCGTTGGCGAAAATAGAAGAGTAAATCGTGCAATTTTCTCATTTTTCTTCCGATTAATAGTTGGGAGAATTCATGCAAATACATATAAATTTTGGTGAAGTAGATGATTTCTAAATACTTAACTAGCTGTTCTGAAAGTTTTATATTGAGATTTGCACTTCGGGATTCATGAATTCTAACAATTTGACAGAAACTCTTAGGGTGTCTTTGTTTAGATTCTAGCTTGCTTGTTTTCTGTTTCATTCCCGGAGTTAAATGATAGCTTAAGCTCAACACCATACTTTCAAAGGGCCTAACAAGAGCTTAGATGTCTCCGACGCTTTCAGTAACCTAACGGGTATACGTACCTGTATTGGATGCCGAAGATCCATTGCTTCCTTGTTCTCGATCGAATTCATATGCGCAAGAAAATCTTGTGCGGAAAGAAGAACCTAAATGAAAATTTTTGTGGGATGCGCAGCTGTGATGAGAAAAAACAGTGTATAGTTACTAAGCGATAGTACAAACTTGTTCTTCCATTAAATTCTTTCCCATGCCAAAGTCTCGTAAGATCTGTAACGATGTTCGACGTTGTTCCTTCCAGTTGTCTCCCTATAAACAAACTTTGTTGTTTTTGAGTTCTTAATAGAATTCACAGTCATTCTGAATATGACTGTGAAAGATTTGCCTTGTTTGAAAAATGCTTGTGGAATTAAATGTCGTTTACCTGTGAAAAAATGACCCCTCCGTTTTCAACATTCTGGAAAAGCGTGTCGGGAAAAGCGTTAGTCCTCCCAGCAAAATCATCACCTGAATGATAAGGGATTTGCCTACGGGTGAGGTTTGGCTATTCTTGTTTTTTTTTATAAACGAAAAAAAAGTCGGGAAAGGAAAACCGGTATTTATTTTTGACCAACGCTCCCGAAGCAGGCGTGCAGCAAAAAAGAGAGTAAGTGGAGCGAAAGCACACGGAAGACTTCTACAAGAAGCTGCACACTCGAGAAGGCGAGCATGGTATCTACCGAATAACAAGAAAAAGAGCAAAAGCCACACAAGACAAGAGCCATTTATAACGTCAAAGATGAGGAAGAATTCCGAGAAGTCCATAAAAGATGACCTTACGATGGCGAGCACACTTCGCGAGAATAGTTTACAAGTTACGAAAAGATATCTACCATAGTAGCTGAGCGAGCGGTACAAGGACCAGGTAGAATACATTATGGAAGAGGAAGTTCGAATAGCCATTAGAACGAAGAACGACAAAGCAGGCCCGGACGATACCCCAGAGTTCTGGAAGAGGTCCGGATAACCTGGAGTTACTTGGCACATGCAGCTTCTCAACTAGATAATCGAATCCAAGAAGATACCGAGCAGATGGTCTACAACGACACCAGAATGGAAGAAAAAAGCAGGTATCCTATTGCTCTACGTATCGTCCAGAGCCCAGCATGAGTTCGTTTTTAGGCTTCTTGGAAACGACACGAAAATGGCCATGTCAGTGGAATCAGGGAAGAGACCAAGAGGAAAAACTGTGATAAGATGGCTGGATGAGGTCAAAAAGCAGATATGAGAGAGATTGGTGTAAGTGAAATGCAGCCTCGAATCGAGAAGAGTGGAGAAGAATAACAAAAGCGGCAGAGACCGCGAGACGGAAAATTGCAAGGATTAACAAAATTTGGGATAATGTGGTCTAATTAATGTGCCTACCTTTCTTAGCGAATGCTTCCTTGATCAAATCATAGTCTGTAATGACTACATACGGCAGTGGGAGCCATACTGTAAAAACGCTACCGTACTCCTTGGAGTAATCGGAAAGATCTTCGTGTAGTTTTCGAAAATTCACCTGCCAAAAATTTCATATTACAAGAAAGATTAATCAATGACGAACTTACTGAAAGTAAATTTCCAAAAAATGGTATTGGTGCTGGTCCCTTTGGAAGGCGTTTCACATTCTCGTAGAAAAGCCAGATATAAATACCCAAAGCGCTTAAAAAGAATGAAACAACGATTAGGAACATGCCGCTAGCAATCAGTAATGGATCCTCTTCTTATACCAGACGCAATGTGCTCGTAGTTTGTGTACTACACAAAAACACACTGTTTTCGACGCAGGTATTAGGTGAGCACAATGTGAGAAGTGGAAAACAGACAGAAGAGTGTACCCACCCACATTCAGCGCTTTTTTGTGGCTGATTAGATATGACGAAGATCGCGGAAAGTGCGTCGTTGCAGTTCCTTCGGTTGGTTCGGTTTTATGCTTACTTAGCTATTATGCTTCAATAACACAACTTAGCTAGCGTATACAATCTTTTGTAAAACTTTTTCTTTTTGGAACAAACTTTTTTTCTTCTAATGATAACAATAGAAAATCTGCGATGGTAGGGCATATTTGGTTTTTCCGGCTACCAAGACGCATTTTGCACAATTTTTGCCATTAGTTTGGAAACTGAAAATCTGCAAATCAATTCCCACCCTTGAATGCAGCGTTGATGATCTGT